GAGAGAGAGAGAGAGAGAGAGAGAGAGAGAGAGAGAGAGAGCTCATGATCTGTTCAATTGTGTCAAGTTGTCAACTGTTTCAACAAGAGTTACATATGCATATCGTTCAGCCAACTGCCAAGCACAGGATGTCTTGGAGTCTCCTACCACTACATGCCTTTGACAGCAAGGAAAAGCAAATTAGAGGAAGTAGACGTATAAGGCTCATGGGTACTGCATACGACAGTGCATGGTATCATCAGTGTTCCACGTTTCGAATTATTCAGAAGTGTGCAGATGGGCGTTGGGCGTGTTGCACTTTATTAGGGCCCCGTGCCCAAGGCCAAAAATACGATGGTACAGGTTCCAGATTCAGGGGAAATAAGGTCGCCAACCTACTTCATGAGGTGGAGGCCCTCCCCTGTGACAGTTCGCCTCAGTGAAAAGTCGGGGAGAGACCACATGCTAACAAACAACCACAGGGAATTGCAATACCTAATCCAGCAAGTAGATATTTCAAGAAAGTCAGAAAAAAGAGCAAAAGAGTTGATCTGCTGTAGGAAAGAACCGAATTGGAAATCTCCGGTACAGGCATCAATGGATGCCAAGGAGGGGGTTACAGGCCCAATGACGGTGCAACCACTTTACCCCAGCACGCAAGTTTTCTGTTTGGCCAGTCTGTTTTGCCCCAATCCAAGCAGATGATGTGCCGAAGGTCCGTCTTCACTCGATGAAGTACTTACTGAACGGAAGGAGGCTCGCCATTTCTGACCACAGCATTAGGATGCCGCCATAGATGCCACAGCACTGTTGCCCTGATGGTTTCATATACATAGGCTTGTGGTTTTGTAAAACCCAATAATACAGTACAACAGAAGAATGGCATCCTTGGACCAAAGGTCCCCCCGTTTATGAGGGAGGAGAGCAACATTCTTAAGTGTTGTCCACACTTCTCGAGCGTATTTGCATGTAACCCACAGTCATGTTTCCGGGCACAATGACCACTTGTGTCGCTGAATGTATACAAGAAACGATTCAGGTTCGGTACAGTCATGCTGAGGGTTTGTGCTGCTCTCAAAAACTGTACTTCCCCTGAACTGCGATACGGCCTCCCTGTGTCCTTGAATGAATACTACAAGCCAAGATTCCTGTCAGCGTGTCAGAACAATCGGTTGTGTACAGCACAGTGCACACTTGTAATGAATGTATTAGACTTGAAAATTCACTTGGATGCATTCCAGCATGCTGGAGAGAAAACAACACACACACACACACACACACACACACACACACACACGCAGACACACACACACACACACACACACACACACACACACACACACACTGTTCACACTTACTTTCTGGGCATTGGTTGTGAACAGCACAATGCACACTTATTTATAATGAATGTATTGGACTTGAAAAATCACTTGGATGCATTCCAGCATGCCTGAGAGAAACACACACACACACACACACACACACACACACACACACACACACACACACACACNAGAAACACACACACACACACACACACACACACACACACACACACACACACACACACACACACACACACACACACACACACACACACACACACAGAGTGTTCACACTTACTTTCTGGGCATGACTGGGCCTGTCTGGTAGGGTCAAACACGGCTGAGAAATCCCAGTAATATTTTTTTGGGGGCCACCTAGGACCCGGAAGACGTCCTGGGCGACCCCCGTTTTTTTCAAAAATGGCCTGGGGGGGTGGCAATCCAGACCTACTGAACCAGACACCGAACCGGGACATCCAGACCCAGACCATCTGGATCCCGATCCGGACATCCGGCCGATAGCCATTATAAATACAAAGAGTCAAAGACTGTTTTCTTGCCAAAAAACAAAAAACAAAAAGGAGTTCGTTGCACCTGCATAGTATGTCACAGAGTATCGGTAGCCAGTCACATGCATGTTGCAATATCTATCTATCTATCTATCTATCTATCTATCTATCTATCTATCTATCTATCTATCTATCTATGTATCTATCTATCTATCTATCTATCTATCTATCTATCTATCTATCTATCTATCTATCTATCTATCTATCGAGCTGAAGAGAAATCAGTTGCTTGTTCTGCTTGTTTCTAACTCCACACATCCATCTGATGGTGTTTTCTTTTTTCTTTTTTTCTTTTTGCTGTTTTCGTTTTTGTCTTTGTTGTTGTCGTTGTTGTTGTGAACTGTCTATGGTGGTGCCTGCGAATCCACGAACCGGTGCATTGCTGGATCTTGCAAACTGCAAATACACGCATTTGACTGTACATCGGCAAACATACAAATATTTTTTTTGAAACTCTACCTGTGGCAAATATGGCGGTTGGCATCATCACTGGATCAGTGGGGTAAGTTGTGAGCAGGAAGAAATATGATGAGTTTCAAGTTTACCGCTGTACAGAATCGCTCTGCGATTTATGCTGCTTCCTGAGTATGATGCTTGCTGGTCTATTTTGCTGAGATTTCCCTTTTCTGTGTGAGCTTGCTAAGTGCTTGCCTGTGTGTAAGTTTCCCTGTGATGATTGCTGTGTGGAGTACTAACTGTGTGCTTGTCCTGGAGGGGTAGATTAGGAATGAGGAAACTAGGGGGGCAAGACTGAAATTGGAACTGGTATTGCCTGCTGGTAGAGGCTAGGACGGACAGGGATCAAAGTAGAAGGCGAGTGGTATCCGGCAAGGATTTTGAATAGCTTAGGCAGGCCCAACAAAGCTCCAGTAAGCCCGGTAGCTTACAAAAGGTCATGGGTAATCAGGCCCGAATCTACATCCGGCAGGCCAGATTCAGGCCCTGATGTAGACTCGCAGGCTGCAATGATGTTCCCAACAAAGAGCAGATTCTGAAGCCCGGTGGGGCGAACACACCGGAGAGTCACCTGGTACCTCTGCCTAAGTAAAGCCGTGAGGCCGAGGTAGAGAGTAAATCATTCGGGCACCATGAGTGGAGCGGGCTCTTATCTTCTTCTTCTTCTTCTTCCTCTTCTTTTTTTTTTTTTTTTTTTCAATCCGGCAGTCGTGCTGTTCTGCCCAGAGGAGGAGGAAGTTGGGCGGTATGTGGGAAAGCGGTGGAGCTGGAGGGCGAGGCAGAAGACCTCCTTGGCTGTGGAGTAGTAGTAGTAGTAGTGGGGCTGCAGACCTGGCTATTGTGGTAGAGGGTGAAGCACCCCATGCCAGACGAGAGAAGAAGAGCGGCAGTCGAAAATAGTAGGAGGTGAGGAAGAAGGAGAGAGAGAGGAACTGTGGCATACTGATACCACACGGGCCCCAGTTAGGGCCCGGTTCTGTAGTAGGCATGCGTTAGGCCTAGGTACCGGGTCACGACGGTCCCAGCTAGGCCCAGGTAGGCCCAGGAACCGTCGTTTCAGATTAGAGTCCGGTAGGCCTAGTTTTAGACCCCACCAGACCCAACGGCTAGTTTCGTTAGGTCGGTACCGGCCCATCGGTAGGACCGGCCGGCGGCGCAGTTTAGGCGCCACTTTTCAGATTCAGATCTGAACCGTTGATCGGATCAACGGTCCAGACCCGAAGGTACCAGCAGCAGGAAGGCTGGCCCAGCGCTATATCAGCTGGGTACCAGCCTCAGTAGGGAGGTTAGTCTACAGGTTAGTCTGGGATTGCGTTTCAGCGTTAGAATAACGAAGCGGCGAGGAGGATTAGCACATCAATTAACGCAGCAGCGGTTGGCACCAGCGCTCTGGCTCAGCACGCCGCCCAGCGCCAGCACTGCAGCGCCATAGCTGCATCACCGAGCTCGGCCCAGCGGACTTCAGCAGAGCCGGCGCGGCCACCCAAGTATCAAGGAGAAAGGCTTTGCCTGTTCTCCCTCTCCCTCTTTCTCCTCCTCTCCTCCACCGCTTCTTTCTCCTCCTACCCTCTAAGTCTACGTCTACTTCTTGGGTTACTCCTACTGGACTACTACAAGGATGAAGGATGGTTACGAGTTCTGATTATATTGGAGATAACAACATTGAGACTTTTGGTTGAGGACTACTTTTGGGATCTGACTTCATTTACCTCTGGAGATGTATCTTGACATTGGAAGATCGATATCTGG